TCCAACATACCACAAGTTTTTGTTTGGAGAAGCAACGGGGGTGGCGGCGGACGAGAAGGCGGCGGCGAAGTGGGCGAAACTGAATCTTAAGGCGGCGGCTACAGTGAATCTATGGTGACGATGTATCTGAAGGCGCCGACGGAGTGGGTAGCAGCGGCGCGTCGGATTTATGGTGGCGGCGGTGGATCTAAAGCGGCAATGGAGTGTGTAACAGAGGCGGCTTCGAGGGTGAAGCTGGCCCAGCGGCGGCGCTCGGAGTTCGAGAATGATGTTGGTGGTGCGGTGATGCTGGGGTAGGTGATGGCGGCGTGGGTGGGGTGGGTGGTATCCTTAGAGGTGTGGATGGAGGTGGGTGGCCTTTGGCGTCGCAGTTTAAATATTACTTGGTGCAAAATTTATATTTCGTGTGTGGATGGCATTTTTGGAATAAAATTTATGAAGGATGTGAAGTAAATGTTTAGTTAGACTTGTCATTTAGTTTTAATAAATTTTGTCATCAGGAATCTATATCCTAAGATCGTATATTGTCAGATTTAGTTTCCAATATTACGTCACCTATTAAGCATTATTTATATTAGTTAATTGTTCCTATTATATATTTAATAGCCACAAAATATTTGATGAAAAACCTTATGATTTGGTACATAGTAATTCACGCAGGGTACACCTCGATGAATTAATATAGGGTTAAATACAAAAGCACCCCTATACTATGGAGTTTGTATCAAATACCCTCTGTACTACACATAAATACAAAAACCCCCCTCACATTACATTTTTTTGCAAAATATGACGAAAATGACCCTACTCAAGCATTTATTATATATATATATATATATATATATATATATATATATATATATATATATATATATAAGGGTTTGTCTGAGCCATTTTCAGTCAATTTTACGTGGAAAATTTTGGTATTTATATTCTTTTCTCCAAAACATCTAATTGCTTATATTTTATTAATTTTCTGATAAAAACCTTCTTCATTTTTTTTTCTTAAATGTCTTCCGGTAGTACAAGGGTGTTTTTGTAACACCTCCACACTCTCTGGCCCACCCATTTCCACCGATACTTTACTCTGTCCCTGTTTCGCTCTGTGAATTGCACGAAGAGGGCTCAAATTCTGGGCTGAGCGGCGGCTGGCGACGGCGTTTTCTGAAAGCGGCGGCGGCGGCTTAGAATTTGTGTAGGTCCATGTTCTATGCAGTTTTAATCCTGGTATTCTGTAATTGCCCTTGCGAATTAGGATTTCAATTATACATTTCTATTTTTTTTCCCCCGAGATGAATGAAGTTGATTCTCATGGATAATTTGAATGGTTAGATAGCTGTAATTTGGTAATGGCTCGACTGTTTTACCTGAATTTGAATCCTGATAGTTTGAGAGTTTTAGGTCTGATGGAGGAAGAACATAATCTTATTGTGTAATTGTGTAATTAGGTCTGATTTTCATTATTTCACATCAATCAATGATCTGATTGGAACAAGTTAAACCTACTCAAGGATGGATTGATTGATGAATATGTTTTTCTTAACTTCAAATAGGTTGTATGAGTACTAGTTGTATTTCTCGTATATTTGTTTGCCAGAGAATCAGTATTAATGTCTACACTTGGTTCGTTTGAATGCATTTTAGTAATTATGCTGCATTAATGAACATAATAATTTCCCGTCAATGTCAAATGGAATTTAGTCCATAAATAATTTGCTTGTCCACGTCGTCATACATATTCGATTTGTTTGATAGGACTTTTAATTTGCGTGTCCGCGTAATCATGCAAATTTTCATTTATGAGGTTTAATGGATGATGTTAGGTTAGGAATTGGTTAGCTTGCGATTATTGGAAAATCTAAGGAAGGGCATAAGATAGTTCAATTATTTAACTCACTAGATGTTTGTAGCAATAAGAAATTCAAGATAAGCTGCCGATGCATTCTCAAATATGTCATATTTAGAAATTTGAACAAGTCCTTGTTGTATGTAGTATTTGATGTTCGAAAATACCAAAATATCATAGTAATGCAGATGATTGGAAAATGGTTAGCAATAATAACTAGGAAATTTCAATTTTAATGCATTATTCAAATGACTTTGCGAACTAAAGTGTCTTATAATGCGTCATAGTATTGTACATGGTTTCTTCGTTATGTGTAAACGGATCATTGTCATCTTTGGATTAAACATATTTTTTATATTAACTAGGTCTAGTAATTAATCTCAACATAAAAAATACCGAGTTATTGTTCTTGCATAATGTTATTGATTGGTGGGTCTTAGTACTTACTACTTATGTCACCTACTCTAAACTGTGACGACATATGGAACATCATTTCTGGACTACCTTTAGAATTTTTTGTTCCTCGTTGTGTTTTAACAATTGTACAAAACGACTGAAGTTGGCTCCTTTAAGACTTGACTAAATTCAGTGTTTCCTAGGTCAGCTCGGGATTGGTTTGTGTCACTTTTGGATGCAAGCTTACGAGTTCTTATCATTATTTTTTTTAATTTTATGAGCGACAGTACTATAAATCTTAATATCAGATTAACTATTTTAAATGTGGCATACTATACACTTCTAAGTATATACATACTCTTTAAGTAACAACACTTAACACTTCTGTGCAAACAATTATGAATAAACTAAATTTTAGGTATTTAAAAAAATCAATATTGATGAGCTCAGAGCTCGGAGAAGCCTAATTTTAACATACAGAGCTCAAGCATACAGAGCTCGTGTCCTTCATAATAAATATAGACAACATGGTCCAGTCTTTAAGTTTTCAACAGTTTGAATCTGAAGTTCAGCTTGTTTTATGAACATGAAGACAACAAAATACTAACAACTTGAAGAAGTGTGTCGGAATCAATTACTGACTCTCGTATGTTTACTATTTTGACTCGATGATAATCGCTTGAAAATAACTTTAAGTTCCATGAAGACATAAACATTTTGAACTATTAAACTAAAAAGCTTTATTGCTTATTGTTTCTTATTATTTTTTTCCAGGGCAACCAGACAAGCACAGAGTTATTTTGGAGGTTGGATATATTTGAGGTAAGAAATTGCATTTATTGGCAAGTCTAGTCATGTTCATTTAGCTTAAATTTACAATTACGACTCTGGGGAATCTGAATAGTCGTTCATTTAATGTTATATTTATGTCTTCGTGCGTGCATGTGCGTATGCGTATGTATACACGTATACGTATATATGTAAGTGTATATATACACATGCACTTGTGCATGATACTGGTTGTACTGCTGGAATGCTTATGTTACGTTAGTGTAACACGTAAAATTGATGTGCTTGAGATTGTCAGGTTTGGAGATTATATAGTCCGAGTCTGTAAGGTGTCACGTAAAATTTTCAATATCAAAATATCATATTGGATCCTCCATGTTAGTTACATGTGTTATCTTGAAAATGCAACAAGTCCATATTTAACTGAATGAGTAAAGGAATGGAAGTAGAAAATATACACTTGCATGCATCCGTAACAATTAATGATTGAAACATGAGATAAAAATAATCAAACATGGTCACTTTTTTACTTTGTCGAAAAGTGTGTCAAGACTTATAATTTTGGTAGAAGTATTACAAAATAAATGCACGTAGAAGAACAAAATGAATTACGTTTGTCGAGAAATGGAGAAAAGACTTAATACTGCGGGTCTCAAGGTTTTATCACATCATACATCTTTTAGCTGTTCATAGCTTTCTGCTGCTCAAATTTGCTTATATCTGTAAGCTGCCAGGATGGATCTAATCTAATCATTACGTAAATATTATGTGAGTTATTTTGCCATGCTTTGGAGATTAAGGTCGATCGTTTTCAATTTTTGTGCGTCGATGAGTTCTATAGTGGTGACAATTTCTGTTATACATAACTTTTTAGCACTCCTAGGTTTTAAATTCAACTATACATAATTTTTGTTGGAATGATATCGTCCACTCATTATATGATTCAATGAAGCGCCGTATACTTTATTGCATATGAGGTATTGCTTTTTATGAAACTAAAAATAGATTTTTGACCATTATGGTTTACGGGAGTAATTTTGTATTGAAGATTCTGGATCTTTTAAAAAAAATATTTTAAAGTTCCTGTTTTGGTAGAAAGAAACAAAACGTGTTAAAAGGATTTTAATTGCGATTTGATTTAATTCCTGTCTGTAAGGATTTATTGTAAAATGCATCAAGTGTGTAATCAAGAAAAAAAATGGAATATATTAAACATAAAGAGCAGTTTTAGAGCGATGATTAAAAATCGTATCTAGGTCTTATCTATGTTAGATGAGACTTATAGTAGCCTTTTTAAGTTGTTTAAATTCCTTAGAGCTATTTGCGCTTCAAATCTCTTGATTACTTTGTCGATCAGCAACAACTGTTTGAAAAACAAACAAATTTATAGGTTTAATCGTATTGATTTATATTATTTATAGAGGAATGAGTGTAAAAATGTTATCGTAAAATTACTTGACTCTACATTTTAACTTCTTGAACAATTATAAGATTGTCGAATGGTTTAAAATTTAATTTCATAGAAACTAATGGGTCTTATCATCAAATTAAAATAAAAAATCACCTGGTGAAGACACTTTATAACCATTTTCGACACATTTCCCCCGTTGAGTTGGAATAAATCATTTTTTTTAGAGAGAGAAGATAGATTTGCAGCTACTCTATTTTGGGCTGAATATGTTGGTATTTTGTGTCTCAGCTGATGATGGCTCCGAGGATGCACCGTCGAAGGCGGCGGAGTATGAACTGCTGTTGCTGCTGCTGTGTAGCTCTTTCTGTCGCTGCTATATTTGTTTTTCTCTTTCTGTTGATGCTGAAATACCGCGCGTGCTCTGTTCACGTGCTTGGTGTTTGTCACCAGAGAAACTTCGACTTTCTCGTACCCTTTTCTCTAAGGAACCACATATGATTTCTTCAGTGATCTGCCAATTCGAGAACGACACCGGTATTGTCTCCCGCCCAACCGTTACACATTCTGTATTATAATTTTAATCGTCTATTGACTACTTTTGTCGAAAACCATCATGTACTGTTAATCATTTTGTTGGTAGAAATAAAGTGATGTTTATCTTTTTGCT